TTTAAAACATTATGTTGGCTCTGCAGTGGCTCATGTCTGTAATCCCAGCACTTTGAGAGGCCAAGGCAAGACAATTGCTTGAGCCCAGGAGTTTGAGACCAGCCTCAGCAGCACAGCGAGACCTTGTCTTTACAAAAATCAAAAAACTAGCTAGGCATGGTAATACACACCTGTAGTCCCAGCAACTCAGGAGGCTGAGGCTGAGGCAGAAGGATCATCTGAATTCAGGAGCTCGGGGCTGAGTTGAGTCATGACTGTGCACTCCAGCTTAGGCGACTGAGACTTTTTTTGAGACTCTTACTCAAAAAAAAGAAAAAAAATGTTGTACATGGTAAATGTACACAATTTTTACATGTCAATTTAAAAAATGAATAAGGTTTTTAAAAGGAAAAAATACCCCAGCACTAATATTATATCCTTTCTAGTGTATCACATGAGGAGGCACATGATGTCAATTTCTTCTATTACTAGAATCACTAATTTTGTTCATTAAAGATTCGGGGCTTTAAGAAGAAGCATAATCATAGCAGTAACAATTTTAGAGTAATATTAGTACAGAAGTGATCCCAACAAGTGTTTACAAACAACAAACATGCTCTTCCAGTTAAACTTTGGAAAATGTTTACTGCCTTCCCTGGAAGGGTTATACGAATCATTTGTGGGATGTTGTTACTATATAGAGATACTCCCAGACTGATTTTGTTTGTTTGTTTTACCTCAGGAACTATCAGTACAAATTTTTGAGCATGTATGTAAATATCCAAAGATTCTATGAAAATCAGAAGCTCTAGTGGTGATCAACACTTTTGAAAGTAGATTTTAAATCTCTAGGTAGACTTCAGCCAAAAGTACATCCTAAAGTAGCAAAAGTACTAACACAGAGACCTAATTTTTAATCTTCTTTTCTTTTCTTTTTTTTTTCTGAGTTGGAGTCTTACTCTGCTGCCTAGGCTGGAGTGCAGTGATGTGCTCACAGCCACCACATCCTTGACCTGCTGGGTTCGGGTGATCCTTTCACCTCAGTCTTCCAAGTAGCTGGAACTACAGGCATGCACTACCACGCCCAGCTAAGAACTACAGGCATGCACTACCACACCCAGCTAATCTTTTTATTTATTGTGGAGACGAGGTCTTGTCAAGTTACCCAAGCTGTTCCTGAACTCCTGGGCCCAGGTAATCCTCTTGCCTTGGCCTCCCAAAGTGCTGAGATTACAGGTTTGAGTCACCGCACCCAGCCGAGACCTAATATTCAAACAGATTGGAGTGAATTGCGCTGAAAAGTTGAAGGCATTCCATCTATAATGTCACCCTCAGTGTTTGTTTCCTAGCTAAAGAACTGGAGTAGATTGCTGAAACTGACAGCAATGAGAAATAACAGCATATCCACCTGTAGATTGATACTCAGGAAAATGACAGGAAATCAAAGTCACAAATCATAAACATCATAACAATGCATAACAAATTGGAAGTCTACACATTCCAATAGCTCCTGTAAGTACCTCTACTACACAATAGCTATTATGCAAAACAACGACCACAAAGTTATCAAGAAAAGGTTAAAATATATTCTGTTTTAAAAAGTATAAAATGAGCTGGGCGTGGTGGCTCACAACTATAATCCCAGCACTTTGAGAGGCAGAAGTGAGAGGACTGCCTGAGCCATGAGTTCAGACCAGCCTGGGCAACATGGTAAGACCTCATCTCTACAATAAAAAAAAAAAAATTTGTTGGGCATGGTGGCACATGCCTGTAGTTCCAGCTACTTGGAAGGCTGAGGTAGAAGGATTGCCTGAGCCCAGCAGGTCAAGGCTGCGGTGGCGGTGAGCATGCTACTGCACTCCACAGAGTACTCTGACTCAAAAAAAAAAAAAAAAAAAAAGTATAAAATGAGCCAGGTGCAGTGGCTCACACCTGTAATCCCAGCACTCTGGGAGGTGGAGCTGAGAGAATTGCCTTCATCCATCAAGACCAGTCTGGGTAAGCTGGCAAGACCTCATCTCTACAATAATTCAAAAAAAAATTAGCTGGGTATGGTGGTGCATGCCTGCAGTTCCAGCTACTAAGAAGGCTTAGGTGGAAAGCTCTCTTGAGCCTACGAGGTCGAGGCTGCGGTGGCCGCGAACATGTCACTGTACTCCAGGATGAGTGGCAGAGTGAGACTCCAACTCAAAAAAAAAGTATAAAATGCATTTTTAGAAGATTTTCTTCAAAAGTATTGAAAAAATTTAGTACCTAAAAGTATAACCCTTGCTGGGCTCGGTGGCTCAGCCTGTAATCCCGCGCCTTTGGGAGGCTGAGGTGAGTGGATTGCCTGAGCCCGCGGGTTCGACACCCACCTGGGCAGGGAGACCTCATCTCTACAATAAATCAAAAAACCAGCCAGGCGTGGTAGTGCATGCCTGTAATTCCGGCTACTTGGAAGACCGAGGCAGAAGGATCGCCGGAGCCCAGCAGGCCGAGGCTGCGGTGGCCGGGAGCAGCCACTGCACTCCAGTCTGGGCGACTGAGTGAGACTCTGACTCAAAAAAAAAAACAAAAACAAAAAGTATAACCCTAAATCATCTAAAATAAACACAAATGTATAGTGCCCTAATGAGATAAAAATGTGAGAACTGGAATTTCTACAATACTATATGCACTCCTTAACAACCTATGTACTGCAAAATCACACATTAAAATCATATGGGCTTAGGAGAAAAAAAGTGAGATAGAACACTAAAAATATATGGAGCTTTATAACCAGAGCACTGATAAAAACAATAAAAATGTGAAAAACACGACCACAGGTACAACTCAACAGACATGTGCACCTGTCATCAACTCTGAAGATGTCTTCCTACTTTGAGATAGATATAGATCCTTCTGAAGGGCATTTACTTCCAAAAGAGACCATGTTCGTCAAAACTAAAAATCCAGAAAAAAAAAAAAAAAAGATCAGGCATAGTGTTCACACCTGTAATCCCAGCACTTTGGAAGGCTGGAGTAGGGAGGACCATTTAAGGAAAGGCGTTCAAGACTTGCCTGGGCAACATAGCAAGACCTCATCTGGACAAAAAAATAAATAATAAAAAAATAAAAATCTGACTTTCGTTATACCATTGTATGTAGCCTTCTTTACACCATTGTTTTTGATACACAGAACTCTGCAACTTCCTCAGTGTTCAGGCTCTCATTGGTGGGGTACAGTAAGAAGCCATGTTCCCTAAAACACCCACAAAAATGTTCCTTGAGAAAAAGAGCCAGAATTTGGACAAAGGCCAGTTTTCAACATCTAACAAAGACACAGACACAAATAGCACTAATAAAGAAGACTTTTTGACCCTTTGCCTCTCATTCCTCCTTCCTACTTCAAACCTTAATGAAAGGACTGACAAAAGCCCAAGTCACTTTGTTTTGTTCCTAGACCCTAACACAATGACGGGAAAGTAAGAAACTGCGCCCTGGAAGAGTGCATTCTTTTAGGTAAAGATTAACTTTGCTGACTTGGTCTTTTGAGAAACCTAGCATCCCTCAAACATGACCTGTACCTGCCCACTGTAATCTTAAAACAGACCCCTGAAGATGGTAAGACCACGCCACCCAGTGCCTGGGAACCAGACCCCCTCTCTTCCTCGGGGTCTACAAATCACCCACCCGGTGCGTGGAAAGCAGGAACAAGACCTCTCCCCTTCTCAGGTTCTGCAAATCATCCACAAGTGGTCAGCAAGGAAGTTATGGCAGTCATGTCTACTTGATTGCACCATCTCTGGGGGAGACGATTTAATCCAGAGGCTTGAGGGGCTATGGTGCCACTCTCATTTTAGAGTGCCGGTCCTCTTTCTGTCTGTGGAAAGTGATCTCTTTCTTAAATAAAACTTTTCTTTCTTCATCTCTTTGTGTTGCAAATCTTTGTGTTACTGGGATCTCTGGTTATCAACACACACCTACAGCACAGCTCTAATCCTCCTCCCTAACACTTAACATTACAAAAGACAAAGAGTAAATGAGGGAAGTGATGGTGATGTGCGGGAGCCAAGAGGATGGTAAAACACTACACTCCCATTACCTCCCGCACATGCTACCGGTCTCAGGGCTCAAGCCAGGCCTAAAAGGAGCAGAGGGAAGAAACACTGAACTGGAAATGAGATTAAGGCTTTCATTTAGAACACATTTTTAAAGCCTGAAAATAATACTGTGTGTTAGTACCTAAAAGTAACCTAAATAGTTACAGGATCTGCCTGAGATTTCACACAGGAGTGAGATCAAAGAACAGTGGTAGAAAAAATAATTAAGCTATTCCTTGATTTTATGCTGAGACCAGCCCACTCAATAAATTGATTACACACATACTCACACACACAAAATAATGTTTAAGAAATCAGAATATTCTTGTTTGTATTGTTTTGAGGGACTACAGTTCCAAAGAACATTTGAGAGAAGTATTTTTATTTTTCTAATTAATTTATTTTTTATTTTAAAGATGTGGGGGTACAATTCAGGATTAGGTATACAAGTGGTCATCATGCAGGTAAAGTTTGCGACTCCCTTGGGTCCCCATTTTGCCTGGTTTGAGATCAGGTGGAAGAATATTTTCAAATGTTCTTGCCTATAGAAAGTTTAAGATGGGCTATATATATATATATATATATATATATATATATATAATGAAATTAAATCAAAACCATCAAAATTCATCAAAGCAGAACAAAATCAAATTCATCAAAGCAGATCAAAATCAAAATTCATCAAAGCAGAAAACATTGATACCGAACTTTCACACAGTCTTTCTAGGAGATAATTATGATGGTTTTAGATATGTCTTTCAAGTCATGCAATATTTTTAAAATACACAAAATAAAAGGTAATCTACAAGGAGGGGAAATAGCTGCATTTTCTTACACTTATACCAGGTATATCATGAGATTATCTAAGAGGAAAATACTTTAATACAATATCTATTACTTAAAAATTGACATAATTTTTCAGTTAATAACCACATACAGGTAGAAGGAATCTCTTACCTTTTAAAAGGCACAGCATTTTTCAGAACCACTTCTACCTCAGCAATAGTTGCTCTAGCAAGATCTGCCACAGTAAGAAAGCCAGAAGCATAGAGGGCCCTGGCTCGCTGTGCATTGAGTAAGGATACCCGGACCAGGTCACATAGCTCCCTCTGGATGCCGAATGTAAGACGCTTCTGAAATTGGGAAAGTAGCAGTTCCATGTTGTGCCAGCCCAGACGGTTGGAAAATACTGTAATCATCCCTAGAACATTCAGAGAATATGTGTTGAATTAAAAAGTGCTTGTAGACTAATTCTGCATTTCTTTCAATGTACTTTTCCTAGTTTTGTTTTTTTCCTGCAGAATTACAAGGTTGAATAAAGGCCCAAGGTGTAGGTTAACATGAGAGTAGATCTATATTAAAGACCTACCTAACTAGACAATAATGTACTAAGCACATTAAATGTCATCTTGTTTATTCTTAATCCTGAACTGAACACCTGAAAACTGAGGCAGAACACATAAACAAACAAAAAAGCCCTCACCCTTCTTCATTCTTCTCTCCCTCCCCCTCCCCCACCTTCACTTTCTTTTAAGGACCAACCAAAAACCAAAAAAAACCAAAAAACATAAAGGACTCTTTCCACCTAGAAGGAAACAAAACTGATTTAAATATTCAAATGCTAAGAGGACTATAAAGAACAGAGTTCCCATTGTTATCTTCTTCAAAGAAACATTGCCCAGCTCAATAGTTGTACCATCTTAAAATAAAAAGGCCAAAGCAGCCAGTGTCAAGTCATTAAGAAAGTCACTTCCCTCTGAGAACACTTAACCCTAGAGGCAATCTTAGATCTCTGATGGTAGGGAGTAGTAGAGTGAGTTCCTCCCTTCTTACTACCCTCTCTTCTCATCTTCCCCTCAGAGCTCCTTCATAGTACACATCTTCACATTGAAACCTCTTACACATATAAATACAAACGCCCTCTAGCTTCTTCCTAAGGGCTTGTAAGGATTCCTTAGTAAAATCAGACCCAGAATTTCTGTTGGCCTAGCTCAGGGGTTAATATATTAAGGCAGACCAGTGGTTCCTTAGAAGAGATAATATTTAGAAGAGTCAAACGGGAGTTCAGAAGTCACTCTACACCTACGTGTAGAGTGCTCCTCAACAACATGTATTAATTAATCATTACCTCGATGAGGAAAGGGAGACCACTGAGAACTTTGTTTCTCTTTCTTCTTGTAACAGAGGGAAAAAAAGAAAAGAAAAAGAAATCAAGAGAGGGACAGTCAGCAGATTGCTAAGGAACGTAGGTCCAGACATTCAGCTAGTTGCCAGTCCTCTGCAGCATGGTACTGAGCCTTGAGGAGCCATAGTTTTGGATTTCCTGATGATGACAGAACTATACAAAATTACAGCACTTGTAAAGAGGCCTACAATAAAAAGGAATTTGAAAAAAAGTAATTTTAACATCAAACTACAGAGTCTTAAATGTGAAACCCTTTGTTTAACTGACCTGCATAAACAGCAGCTGACTGTTGCAAAGATTGAATCTGTCCACGATTGCATCCATATTTCTGATTAATTTCCTTTAAGGGAACTTCACTGATTAAATCTAATAGCACAAGACTTGTAAAAAACCTAAGAATAAATCACCAAAAGTATAATAAGAGATCATTTATGTCTGCTATGAAAGTACAATGTGTGTTGCAAAACAGCTAAGAAAAGCAACAGAGGGTTTACACACTCTGGGTAGATTCCTAATAGAAAATAGGATTAGTGAATAAAGAGTAAGATCAATGTTTGCAAAGCAAGTTTTGACATGCACTGGTACTATAGCAAAGAACTAATATCTGTATAACCCAGAGTTGCCCATATTTCAATATTGCTAGTTAATTTCAAATATAGATAGATAGATAAAAGACTTGGTTCAAGAAAAGTGATGGCACAAATATTTAAAAGATGACACATAGTTACATGATAATCTAATCATTGTTTCAATAAAATGACTGAATCTAATTATAAAATCCAGTTTTGATTTGAAAGGCAACTGTAGCACGAATAATCCAAGTATGTAAGTTATTACAAAATTTACACTTGACTGTGTTGTAAATAATATACTAGAGATGAAAACCTTAAGAAAAAATAATTTCATTATATTTCAAAACTAACAGCCCGTACAATTTCCTGCAACTGAATCTTTTATTAGTTCTTCTCTACTAGAAATGAATCACTTCTAAGGATGATACAATGCATAACTCCAAATGAAGCCACAGTAAGTTGGCAGTTCTTCTAATTCACACTTCCTTTACAAAAAAGAAGTAATTAAATATTTGACTGAAAAAAATCTTTATATGTAATGGCTGCTAAACTATAAGCTACAGAAAGAAACTAAAATAACAATAAGTTCAGTAAACACAGGAAACTGAAAATTTTACTACAGTCAGCCAAAATCTATATTTTGTTGACAATTAAAATGACTATAATAAACTAGACATCTAGTATAAGACACTATTAAATACTGGAGAGCTCAGGGACCTTGAAGTTTACCTTTTATGGATGGCCATTTGCCGATGATGTCTCTCAGTTCTGGCTACTACTTTTCCTTTCACACAGCGAGCCAAGAACCCTTCTTCAACTCCCACTAATTCTGCCACCTTCTTCATAGAAGTTGGCAACTTTTCCCATAAACAGAAAAATCGATACCAATCAATAGTAGTCCAATCCTCAAACATAGGTGTAACCTACAGAGAAGATGCATCATTCATTACAAAATTATTGCAATACAAAAAATATATAAATATAAACGTCATATTAAAGACAAAAGCCTCAGGATTTAGAAAAATTTAAGTGATAATACTTCATTTATACAGAAACACCATTTATTCACAAGCAACACACTGCCAGGACAAAAGGAAAAGAGACCACTATACAAACTAGATTTTATAAAATCCAAGTCTTTAATCATGGACAATTCAATACCAATATTCTAATTTTAGGTACAACCTTAAATATTTTGTATAGTTTCCAATAAAGAATCAATAAAATAAAAAGAGGAGAAGAGGGAAGGAAAAAGCAATATTTAGAGTTGATATATTACTAAGATGTCCAGGATTCAACAGAAACTATGAGATATACAAAAAACGGAAAAGTGTACCCCAAATACAGGTGAAAAAGCAGGCAAAGAAACACCTTTGAGAGGTTCAAGATGTTGGAATAACCAAAGACTTGAAAACAAATAGTTTAAATGTGGTCAAAGAACAAAAGAAAAACATGCCTAAAGAAGTAAAATAAGGCAATGTCTCATGAAGTGGAGAATATGAATAAACAAAAGAGAGACAGTTGAGAATTCTGGAGTCAAAAAGTACAACAAGTGAATAGCTCACCAGAAAGATCAACAGTATATCCAAACTGACATAGAAAGAATCAGCAAACATGAAGATAGATTGATAAAGACTATGCAATCTTAAAGAGAAGAGGAAGAAAAGTGAACAAATGAAAAGAGCCTCAAAGCACTCAAAAAGAGCAATAAGGGAAAACAGAAGTAATTTTAACAGAGGTAACCATACAAATTAGTCAAACTGGTTTGTTGTCAGGTAAGGAATGAAACAGAAATATACATAATAACAAATGGAAATTAGAAATATATCCAAATACAAATGAAAATTAGTACATAAAAGTTTGCATCTTGAGTCACTGAGTAAATGAATCTTTAATAAATGATGCTAGGATTCCAAATAGGTATTATGAAAAAAAAGACAAAACTGAAGAACCTTATACCACAGAAAACTTCAAATGGAGCAGATCTCAAAATAGGGGAATCCCCAACTATGCAATTACTTGTAGGAAATGTGAAAGAATTCCTCAACAACTCAGAGCAAAAAGACTTTCTCAATGATTCAAAAGTTCATAAATTCAGCTGTACTTTTAAAAACTGTTAGACAAAGCATACAATAAGAAAAGCCAAAAGACAAGTGAACGACCAGGAGGAAAATACTTTATACTTTTACCTCAAAACATTAATCTGCCTAATATATAAAAAACCTTTAAAACTTAAGAAGAGTAAGCTGAGCAAAATGGCTCACACCCATAATCCTAGTACTTTGGGAGGCTGAGGTGAGAGGATTGCCTGGCCCACTGGTTCGAGATCAGCCTGGGCAACTTGGTGAGACCTCGTCTCTGCAATAAATCAAAAAATAAGCCAAGGCATGGTAACGCGTGCCTGTAGTTCCAGCTACTTGGAAGACTGAGATGGAAGGATCGCCTAAGTCTAGCCTGTGGTGGCCATGAGCGTGCCACTGCACTCCAGCCTGGACGACAGAGTAAGACTCCAACTCAAAATAAATAAATATAAAGAAGAGTGTTGGGCATGATGACTCACTCCTGCAATCCCAGCACTTTGGGAGGCAGAGGCAAGAGGATTGCCTGAGCCCAGGGGTTCGAGAACAGCCTGGGCAACTTGGCTAGACTTTGTCTCTACAATAAATAAAAAAAATAGCCAGGCATGGTGGTGCCTGTAGTTCCAGATACTTGGAAGGCTGAGGAAGAAGAATCGCTTGAATCCAGCAGGTCGAGGCTGTGGTGGCTGTGAGCATGCCATTCCACTCCAGCTTGGGCGACAGAGTGAGACTCCAACTCAAAAAAAAAAAAAAATTAAGAACACCAAAAACACAATAGATAAATGAGTAAAAGACATGAAAGATTCACTGGGAGTGGGGAGGGCCAATCACCCTTAAACAGAAGGAAAAAATTGTTCAAATTTGCTCATAATATTAAAAGTGTAAATTAAAACTACACTCAAAAATACAAAAGCTTGACAATATACTCTATTTGTGAGGCTGGAAATAGACAATCGTTCTCATATATCACAGGTAAAATTGGAAAATGAGACAAATTCTATGGAGGGCAACTTTGCAAAATCAAAATCACTTATACCTTTATGCTTTCCCCAGCAATCATACTCCGGGAGGAGTCTTTCCTAAAGATACACTGCCACAAAAACTAAACTGTATGCACCGAGTTATTTACTGCAGCATCACTTGCCACAACAAAATATTGAAAACAATACACATGTCCATCAATAGGGAATTGATGGAATAAACAACAGTATCCCCACCTATACAATGGAGTTATACAGCTTTAAAAAAGAATAAAAAATCTCCATGAACCAATATGAAGCAATTTCCAAGATATGTTGTTAAGGAAAAAAAATAAGGTATAGAATTATATATACAGCATGCTATCCTCTGTACAAAAAGAAGGTGAAGTAAAAATGTGTGTGTGTGTGTGTGTGTGTGTGTTTCTAACTTTTATAAAACGAAAAAAAAGAGATACATTAAAAAATGAATGAAAACAGTCATCTATAAAGATGGGTGGAAAAGGAATGCATAACATAGATATAGGAGTCAGACTTCTCTGATAATTCCTTTTTGTAAGTTTTGAATTACTTGTTTTAAATATTCAAAAAACAAATATCCTTGGTCTAACTGATTAGTTGTAAAAAAAATCAAAATAAATAAATAAAATATTACATGTTAACTTTAAATGTTTTATTTAATTTAAGATACAAATGTATGCTTCTTTGTCAATATTTTGAGCTAGGCTCAAATCCTTTTCAGTGTGAGTCTGATTAGAATTTGTTATTACTTTCTTTTTTTTTTTTTGAGTTGGAGTCTCACACTGTCGCCCAGACTGGAGGGCAGTGGCCACTGCAGCCTCGACCTGCTAGGCTCTGGCAATCCTTCCACCTCAGCCTTCTGAGTAGCCGGAATTACAGGCACGTGCTACCATGCCCAGCTGATTTTTTGATTTATTGTAGAGATGAGGTCTCGCCAAGTTGCCCAGGGGGGTCTTGAACCCGCAGGCTCAGGCAATCCACTCACGTCAGCCTCCCAAAGCGCGGGATTACAGGCTGAGTGTTATTACTTTCTTAGTTAAATTATACCCACAACACATTGTCTAAAAAATCCCGTTTCTGTTGTGTAATATGAAGTTAGAAATTAAAGATAATTGCAAAGTAATCTTTGAGTGGCACCCTTCTGGTTTTTTCCAGTCTAGATTTTTGTAACTTTTTCTCAGAACTTTTTGTAGTCATCTCACATATTTCATCAACAACTTTTTTAGTAACTTGCATTAAATCTAATTTTCACAGATGTAAAATGGCATGAATAAGTTTGGGAACAAGCACAACTAACTCGTGAAGAGCTCACAACCCAAATGGTGAGAAAAGCGCATGAGACACTAACCAAAAGCATCTAGCATACCAATGCCCACCATCCGTCTTTAAGTTTTGCAGAGGGGATAAAGTAGTTAGGCAACTTGGCAGAAGACTTCTATTAATTTTTTACAAGAGAATTTACTAGAAATAATAGATAGTAGTTATTAAATATCTACTATATCAAATATTAATCAGACTATCAGACCTGAGATGGGTATTGTTATTATCTCCATTTTACAAATAAAGAAGTGGAATTTTCAAAAAGGGGAAATACTTACCCACAGTTGTACTATTATTAATAATGAGGCTAAAAGTTGAGCTTAGGCAGTCTGACCCAAGAGCCTTATCTTAGCCATATAATAAATGAGACTTATTTTTAAGGCCATGGTAGATGCCTGGTAAGACATGCTTTGAAATTCCTCCTAGTCACATTCTAGTGTGCAGAACTTTTGAGCCCATTATCACCCATGTGTCATGCATATTTGTAAGAAAAAAATGGGGACTATCTAGACATTTGCCCTCTGCTCACTATATAATGCTTTTTATTGACACATATTTCCTGATAAGCCTTTGTCTTTCTAATGAGAATTTCAATTTTACTCCCCCCCTCAACCCCCCCCCCCCCCCCGTCACCTGCTTAAAATAAATTATCTCTGGTCATAGTCTTGCCAGAGAATACTATCTCAAACTCTATTTTATCCAATTCTTTTCCTTTTTCTTGAGTAAGTGTCTCACTCTGTCACCCAGGTTGGAGTGCAGTGGCACAATCAGGGCTTATCACAGTCTAGACCTCGTGGGCTCAGTCAATCATTCTGTCTCAGTCCCCCAAGAAGCTGGGACTACAGACGTGTGCCACCCCACTGGGCTAATTTTAGAATTTGTTTTTGATAGAGACAGGGTCTCACTATGTTGCCTAAGCTAGTCTCAAACTCCTGGGCTCAAGCAATCCTTTCACCTCAGTCTCCCAAACTGCTGAGATTACAGGTATGAGCCACTGCATCTGGCCTATGCTATCTAATTTTTATCAAAACCTTTGTTATAAGGAATAATATTCATAAGGATTGTCCAATGTAAACAAACTTTTTAAATTCCTAATTGCATTTATTATAGAGATTTCATCAACAAAGTATCTTTTGAGGATCAAATTTCTCTTAGGCAATAAGATACAATGCTTTTCCTAAACGTGGTTTGTTTTTTATCTTAGAAATATTGATATTAGGCTGAGTGCGGTGGCTCAAGCCTGTAATCCCAGCACTTTGGGAGGCCGAGGCAAGAGAATTGCCTGAGCCCAGGGGTTTGAGACCAGCCTGGGCAACTTGATGAGATCTCATCTCTACAATAAATCAAAAAAGTAGCCAGGTATGGTAGTGCGCCTTACTTAGTTCCAGCTACTTGGGAAGCTGAGGAGGATCACCTGAGCCCAGCAGGTGGAGGTTGCAGTGGCCGTGAACGTGCGACTGCACTCCAGCCTGGGCAACAGAGTGAGACTCTAACTAAAAAATATATATATATATTGAGATTAATCAGGCTTCCCTCTGCTTTAGTTGATAGAAAACCCAAAATCAAAGTTGGCAATAGTAATTGTACATGACTTAACACATGCATGCTTGTGTAACAACCTTGGCTTGAGTTTACATTATGATCTTATATTTAATTATTTACTTACTTATTGAGTTGAAATCTTACTCTGTTGCCCAGGCTGGAGTGTAGTGGCATGCTCACATCCACCACAGCCTCAACCTGCTGGGCTCAGGCAATCTTTCCATCTCAGCCTCCAAAGTGCTGGGATTACAGGCATGAGCCACCATTCCTGGCTATGATACTATTTTTAATTTTCTAGTATCCCACTGTCCTTTGTCATTCCCTTATGTACTGTAAAGTACATATTTTATAAACTATCTCAAATCCTTTTAGAAGAGGATGGAAAAAACAGATTAAAAGGTCACTAGAACATTTAGCTTATTACTTTGAAACAATTCTCTTATCTGTTCTCTATTCCCACCACTACTAACCTAGTCAAGGAAAACAGACAAGATGTTCCCTTAGGGTATCTTTGATGCTTATATTATATATATTTATATATATTATACTTATATAACTTTTCTCTCCCCGCCTTCACAAATGTAATTGTTAAGAAAACAGAACTTACCAGATAGACAATATGAAGATCATTCTCTAAAACAAAGCCCTTCATTGCTCTTTGGAGGTCAGCAAAAATATCTAAAGTATCAGCTGGAGAGAGTGAAGAAGAAAGAGTAGCCGAACCAAGATGTGTTGGACGATACACCTTTCCTTGTTTGAGGGTGGGATGGAAAAACAGGGGAACAAAATGTTAAAAGTAAAATAAAACAAAATACTATCTTTCTGGATTCTATAACTAATCCTCTCAGGTGATAAGTTTTACAAAAGAAAACTATTTAATGCATGAAAATTTATGAGTAGTCTCTATGACTAATTATCTGAAGTTTCTGACACAACACTGATTTACTAAAAATGAGTTGACACACTACTCAAAACAAATGTCCTCTTATACTACTTGAAAAGTCAATTTTCTTTTACTGAGCAGTCTTACTTTAAGTCACTAAGGATGAAAAAGTGAATAAACCGTATGTGAGAAGTGATATTTAACACTTACCTTCTCTTCCATCACTGGCTTCTATAATCTGGATGAATTCATTTTCTAGCAGCCACATCACACAGGCCTCAAGTGCTCCAAGGTGAACAGACTCTTGATTTCTCTGAATTCCTTGATTCCCTTCTTTCATACTTGCAGCCAAAAATGTGCAAGAAGCATAAGTTTGCATATCTTGCGATGTACTTGCTACTCCACCAACTATTATCTGATAGAAGATATTTAAACATTTCTGTAACTTTTTATTAAGACATGCAGGCCCTCTTGACATGAAGGATATAAAGTGATTTTATTCTCAGAATCATAATGTAGAGACTCTTGATTATAAATTTTTCCAGTCAGGTCCTGTGACTCATGCCTGTAATCCCAGCACTTTGGGAGGCAGAGGCGAGAGGATCACTTGAGCCCAGGGGTTCGAGACCAGCCTGGGAAACTTGGCAAGACCTCGTCTCTACAAGAAATAAAAATAAACAAAACTTAGCCAGGCATGGTGGTGCACACCTGTAGCTACTTGGAAGGCTGAGGCAGAAGGATTGCTCAGCAGACAGAGGCCACAGTAACCATGAGCATGAGACTGCACTCCAGTCTGGGAGATAGAATGAGACTCTGACTTATCTTAATGTTATAAGAAAGGGATTGCCAGTAACGGGACACTGCTGGGGAGGTGGGGAAGCACATAAAATCAATAATGGTACCTGATCCTAAATCAGGTAAAGTGAGGACCAATAGGAGGCCCAAAGCCCACCTGTATGTGCCTCATCCTGAACTGGACCCCATATCATTAAAATAAAATAATAATAATTTTTAAAACCATAAAAAGAAAACTCTTCCATTAACACTCACTCATTGTAGTTGTAAATAACACATAATGACAACAAAAAAAATTTGTCCTTAAACATAAATAGAATATTTTATTATAAACAGAAATAAACGAATCATTATTCATCTGAAATTTCAGATCTGACAACATATATAAAGGAGATAGTGATGACTCATGTCCATTAACCAAATAAATTCTTTTCATTAATTCTCCTGAAATATGCAGGCATGTAGGAATGCTACTATTGAACACTTCCCACCCAGAAAAGTGGTGGAAATAAGTACAAAAAAAATGGAGTCAGCCATGTCTTGTGGATATAATTTTCCCATAACTATCCTATTATATATACTAATTTGCCTCTTGTCTTCTTTTACTCTGTATTGCACACATACCAAAACATCATAAACAGAGCTATCTCATTCTTTTTTTTTTCCAATTTAAAGATATGGTGTACAATTCAGAATTAAATATAAAAGTGGTCATCGTACAGGCTAAGTATGGCCCTCCCTTTGGTCCCCACTTTGCTGGTTTGAGATCAGGTACCCTTATTGATGTTATGTGCCCCTCCTCCCCTCATCCCCCTGCCGCCCACCCAGGCAGTATCCCGCTGCTGCCTATCCCTTTCTTATAGTATTATGATAAATGTTCAGGATCCACTTATGAGTGAGAACATGTGGTACTTTGTTCTTTGCTTCTGTGATAGATCACTGAGTGTGACATAATCTAAATTCATCCAAGTTGCTGAAGAGTCCATATGTTTGTCCTTCTTTATGGCTGCATAATATTCCAATAATATACGTACCACATTTTTTTATCCAGTCTAGTTTTGATGGGCAGCAGAATTGGTTCCATGTTTTTGCTATTGTGAACATGCGTATATTTTTTTTATAGAATGTTTTGAGTGTTTCTGGGTATATTCCTAGTAGGAGAATTGCTAGGTCATATGGAAAGTCAATGTCTAGTTCTTTTAGAAATCACCACACTGTTTTCCAAAGAGGCTGCACTAGTTTGCATTCCCACCGGCAGTGTAGAAGTGTTCCTTTTTCTCCACATCCTTGCCAGCATCTGTTGTTTGTTTTGTTAATGATGGCCATTCTTTCTGGGGTTAGGTGGTATCTCAATGTGGCTTTGATTTGCATTTCTCAGATGATTAGTGAGGCTGAGCACTTTTTCATGTGTCTGTTGGCTGCCTGCATATCTTCTTTGAGAAGTGTCTAGTCATGACTTTTTAATGGGGCTGTTTATTCTTTTCCTTTTGGCACATTTGAGTTCCTTGTAGATCCTGGATTTTAGACCCTTGTTAGATACAGAGTTGGCAAATATTCTTCCCATTCTGTGGGTTGTCTCCCTACTCTCTTGCTGGTTTCTTTTGCTTTGCAGAAGCTTTTCAGTTTGATGAGATCCCACTTGTCTGTTTTATCTCTTATGGCATGAGCACTTGGGTTTTGACCAGGAATTGTTTGCCAGTTCCAATTTCCAAAAGAGTATCTCCTGCATTTTCTAAGGTTCTTATCATTTGGGGTTTTACTTTCAGGTCTTTGAACTATTTAGAGTTGATTTTTGTGTATGGTGATCGGGAGAGGTTCTGTTTCAATCTTCTGCATGTGGTCAGTCAGCTTTCCCAGCACTATTTACTGAATAGGTTCTCCTCTTCCCAGTGGTTGTTGGTGGCTTTGTTGAAGATGAGTTGGTTATCTCATTCTTTTTAATAACCACAAAGCACAGTTTTACCACAGTTTACTTAGTATGAATGGTATTTGGGGTTTTTCCAATTTTTTCCTATTACAAATAGTGCTATAATAAACATTGCTGTACATTTAATTTGATGCGACCTCACAAATATTTCCCTAGGTAAAATTCCTAGCTGTGAAACTGCTAGATAAATGGGTGTGTGCATTTTTTATATTAGGAGGTATGCCCGGGTGCCCTCCAAACAATTTTTAGCAGTGGATTAAAGTATCTACTTTCTAATTCCCTACCTATGTTATCAAGTATTTTCTTTCTTTCTTTTTTTTTTTTAAGTTGGATTCTCACTTTGTTGCCCAGGCTGTAGTGCAGTGACATGACCACAGCTCACCACAGCTTTGACCTCCTGGGCTCAAGCGATCGTTCTGCCTCAGCCTCCCAAGTGTCTGGGACTAAAGGCACACACCACCATGCCTGGCTAATTTCTTGATTTTTTGTAGAGACAAGATCTTACTATGTTGCCCAGGCTAGTTTTGAACTCCAGGACTCAAGCAATCTTCCTGCCTTGGCTTCCCCAAGTGCTGGGATTACAGGGGTGCCACCATATCTGGTCTTTTTTCAAACTGATAGTTGAAGGAAAAAATAAAATAAAAGGGTATAGGTACAAGTACCCAAATCACCAGCCCTAATACTGAAACCAATACTAAGTCATGCTGGTTTATGCACAGAAAAGTTTTTTGAATGGACACATATAACACTGAAAAGGACTAGAGTTTTCTGTATTGTTGGAAGCTTCTAATCACATATATGTATAACTTGATTTTATCTTAACATCAACAGGTATTATCTGGATGAAGACAATAGGGTCTATTTTTGTCATATTTTCTTTAAATTCAGGAAATAAATAATATCTAAAAAATAAAAAGAACCACCTGGCATTTGGTTTCAGTCACTGTTTTGAAATAGATTGATATAGCACTAGCTATATTAAGCTCCAGGAAATAATTACATACTCATATAATCATATATATATTATATATGTACACATACACACGCGCATGCACACATACACGTGTATATATATATATATATATATATACACACACACACACACACACAAGCTGACCCTTAAACAGCATGGAGGCTGGGACAATGACTACCCAGTCAAAAATCTGTATATACCTTTTGATTCCCCAGAAACTGAACTCCTTATATCCTACTGTTGGCCTTATCAATAACATAAACAGTTGATTAACATTAATATTTTGTATGTGATATGCATTATATACTGTATTCTTACAAAAGTCAGTTACAGAAAAGGCTATTAAGAAAATCATAAGGAAGAGAAAATATATTTGCTATTCATTAAGTGAAAGTGGATCATCATAAACAGGGGTCCTCAACCCCCCAGGCCACGGACTAGTGCCAGCCCGTGGCCTGTTACGAATGAGGATGAACAGCAGGAGGTGAGTGGCAGGTGAACTAAGGAAGCTTCATCTGCATTTACAGTCACTCCTCATCACTCACATTACCACCTAAGTTCTGCCTTCTGTCAGACCAGAAGTAGCATTAGATTCTCATTGGAGTATGAACCCTATTGTGAACTGCTATATATATAAGGGATCCAGGTAGGGTTCCTTATGGAAATCTAATGCCTGATGATCTGAGATAGAGCTGAGGTGGTGATGCACTGGGAAGTGACTACAATAACATTAGCAGTGAGGTTGACTGCACATCCCTCCACCGCCCCAGTCCATGGAAAAACTGTCTTCCACAAAACCAGTCCTGGATGCCAAAAAGGTTGGAGACCACTAATCATAAAGATCTTTGTCCTCATCATACTCACATAGAATACGCTGAGGAGGAGGAAGAAGAGGAATTGTTATCTCAGGGGTGGCAGCAGTGGAAGAAAATCTGTGTGGACTCGCGCAGTTTAAACACTGTTGTACAAGAGTCAACTGAATATAATTCATGTATTTCAGACTTGGGAAGGCTATAAGTATAAAAATCTTATTAAAAAATACAAAGCTGCTGGGCTCAGTGGCTCAGCCTGTAATCCCACGCCTTTGGGAGGCTGAGGTGAGTGAATTGCCTGAGCCCGCGGGTTCGAGACCTGCCTGGGCCGTGAGACCTCATCTCTACAATAAATCAAAAAATCAGCTGGGCGTGGTAGCGCATGCCTGTAATTCCAGCTACTTGGAAGGCTGAGGCGGAAGGATTGCCGGAGCCCAGAAGGTCAAGGCTGCGGTGGCTGGGAGCGGCCACTGCACTCCAGTCTGGGCGACAGAGTGAGACTCCAACTCAAAAAAAAAACCAAAAAAACAAACAAACAAAAAAAACAAAGCTAGCCAGACTCAGTGGCTCAGCCTGTAACCCCAGCACTTTGGGAGGTTGAGGTAAGTGGATTGCCTGAGCCCGCGGGTTCGAGACCTGCCTGGGCAACTTGGCAAGACCTCATCTCTACAATAGATCAAAAAATTAGCCGGGCGTGGTAGCACACAACTGTAGTTCCAGATACTCAGAAGGCTGAGGCGGAAGGATCGCCAGAGCCCAGCAGGTCGAGGCTGCAGTGGCCGGGAGCAGCCACTGCACTCCAGTCTGGGCGACAGAGTGAGACTCCAACTCAAAAAAAAAATACAAAGCTAAGATTTTCACATACTAAAGTTTTACCACTTTAATGCAGACATAAAAGAACAAATGGTAATTTAGTTTAATACTCTCTTACCTCCAGAATAGCTCGTATCATGCTAGCAGTTACTTCTTCTCCTTCTCGTCTTTGCAGACAGCTGCGAAGAGGTTTTAGAGATCCCTGAAGTAGAGCTATGCCTTTTGATTTCTCAGAGTTCTTACAAACTAAGATACTTTCACCTATAATCAAAAGACATACATTTGCAAAATCCCAACACAGTTCCATAAAATATTGCTAAAGAGATTTTTCAGGGGAGGGGGAACACACCTCATGGATAAGGGTGCCTGTATAACGAACATTTGTATACCTAATCTTGAATTGTACTCCACATCTTTAAAATAAAAATTTTTTAAAAAGAAAGATTTTTTTTTTTTTTGAGTTGGAGTCTCACTCTGTCGCCCAGACTAGAGTGCAGTGGCCGCTCCCGGCCAACGCAGCCTCAACCTGCTGGGCTCTGGCGATCCTTCCACCTCAGCCTTCCAAGTAGCTGGAACTACAGGCGCACGCTACCACGCCCGGCTCATTTTGATTTATTACAGAGATGAGATCTCACCTAGTTACCCAGGCGGGTCTCAAACCCGCGGGCTCAGGTAATCTACTCACCTCAGCCTCCCAAAGGCGCAGGATTACAGGCTGAGCCACCAAGCCCGGCTAAAAAGAAAGATTTTAAGTTGTCTTACTTGTTTAAAAGAAGATAAGAGGGTAGAGAAATGAAATCACCTATTGGGTACAAGGGGCACAGGTACGAGTGATGGGTAAACTTAAAGCCCAGACTTCTTCATCGCTATATAATGCAACCCTGTAGCCAAAAACTATTTGTACCCCCAAAGCTATTGAAATAAAGAAATTTTTTTTCTTTCAATAAAATCACGCTAAACTTTTAAAAAACAGGAGATAAGAGATGATAGTGGTTGTTATAGTAATAAAATTGTGGCTAATGTTTTTCTTTTTTGAACGTTGGACAGAGGGGATCAGAATATGCTACCCTAAAGTATGCTACTTTGCCATAAAAATTATTTCGAGCTGAAGGCCACTGGGAAGCAGCAAGCACAGAAAGAACTCTGTCCTCTCCCTATCTGTCTAAAAGCAAGACTAAATTTTCCTTTGTGAACATGTATCCCCTCTCCACTCCCTTACCAGGAAGAGAACAGTCCTTTTCACAGGAGACAAAAGGTCAGCACTGAGATGGGTCTGCACAAATACTGCTATATTAACCTCTGTCCTCCATTACTTTCCCCCACAGATTTACCATCTCACAATTTACCAACCCTAATAGCCCAAATATATTTTCCTTTGCCTTATCATTTCTCCACAATTGATTACCCATTATTAAAATGTTATATAAGATCCCAGATCTAACAGCTTTTTAGATCTTTAATTTTTTTTCCCCCTCCTGGTCTCACTCCATTACCCAGAATGGAGTGCAGTGGCAGGATCACGACTCACTGCAGCCTCACAGGTCTTTAGTTATTTTCTATGAAGGCCTCTATGAACTAAAATATTTTAAAACTAAAATATTAACATCAAATAAAGCTTATATGCTTTTTTGCCTGTTAATCTGTGTTTTGTCAGTTTAATTAGCAGAACCTAAAAAAGCAGAGGAAAAGCTTTTTATTCTCCTACAGGATTAACCATTTTACTGAATAGCCAAGTAATTAGAAGTACTTTCAAACCAATAAAGTAAAACATAAATCTAAATGATTACGAGTCACACATGATGACTGTCAAAATACAGATCATAAGACAGACAGAATTGATTGACTCTTTGTGGCAATAAGATACCAAATTATGTTCGAGACCAGCCTGGGCAACTTGGTGAGACCTCATCTCTACAACAAATCATAAAAACTAGCCGGGTGTGGTGGCATGCACCTGTATTTCCAGCTACTTGGAAGGCTGAGGCGGAAGGTTCACCTGAGCAGGTTGAGGTTGCAGTGGCCATGAGTGTGCCACTGCATTCCATCCAGTCTGGGCAACAAGAGTGAGACTCCAACTCAAAAAAAAAAAAAAGATTCCAAATTACAAACGAGGCCTAAGGCCATGCCAGGCAAGAGTTAAGTCAAACACCCCTGTATCTAAATAATAAACTACATTCTTACTGCCATACATTTTTTTTTCTTTGTCTCTAGTAGCTAAACAACCTGGAGATAAGCAATATTGAAACAATTGCCCTCACCAATCAACAGACACTGACTGACTGATCCCTCTATCCCACAAGCTATTACTACAGCTTTGACTAGACAAAAGACTGGTTTCAGTAACTTTCTCTGGATAAGAGACCACCAACCATGAACTGGTTCTTGCCAATTTACAGAGCCTATACTTTGTGTCTTTATTTCACCTTAGATGTATAGGGCCTAATTGTAACTCATTTAAATGTGAAGTCTCTACCCCAAAGTGAACATGGGACATATGTAACATGCTCATGTTTGTTTACTATGCATGCTTACATCCCCCACTTTGTGAATATTCATAGTTCTGCCTATAACCTATTAAATAATTTATTTAGCCAACATATTCTGCATAAATTCCCGTCTCACCTTCCCTTCCTCAAATCACCTGCTTTTGGTTTCAGCCAAAGGATATTCTTCCCACCTACAAGTTGTGATTCCCTTCTTAAGAAATAAAGCTCAGCCGGGAATGGTGGCTCATGCCTATAATCCCACCTCTTTGGGAGGCCAAGGTGAGAGGACTGCCTGAGTTCATGGGTTCAAGACCAGCCTGGGCAGTTTGGTGAGACCTCATCTCTACAATAAATCAAAAAATTAGCTGAGTGTGGTGGCACATGCCTGTAGCTCCAGTTACTTGGAAGGCTGAGACGGAAGGATTGCCTGAGCCCAGCAGGTTGAGGTTGAAGTGGCCATGAGCATGCCATTGCACTCCATTGCACTGGGCAACAGAGTGAGACTCCAACCAAAAACAAAAAAGAAGTAAAGCTCACTGGGCACAGTGGCTCACGCCTATATCCCAGCACTTTGGAAAACAGAGGCTAGAGGATTGCCTGCCTGAGTCTAGGGGTTCAAGACCAGCCTGGGCAACTTGGCAAGACCTCATCTCTACAATAAATCAGAAAATTAGCTACTCAGGAGTCTGAGGCAGAAGGATCACCTAAGCCCAGCAGGTCAAGGCTGCAGTGGTCATGAGTGTGCCACTGCACTCCAGCCTGGGCAACTGTGAGACTCCTACTCATAAATAAATCTCTCCTCTTCAAATTTATGAGCCTTGTGATTCTTCAGTTGACATGAAAAAATAAATTCAAAAATACTTATAGATACCTAAAATTTATAACATTTACTAATCTAAATGCTTTAGATTATTGTGACATTCAAATGAACAAACATATATGAGAGTACTTATAAATTAAAAACATATACAAATATAGCATTTAAACAAATTCAAACATATTGCAACAATTAAGACTAGAGAAAAATCATAATTTTTTTTCAAAAATGAATCCAATAGGCAAACAGAAACAGGTAAGTAAGATGTTCAAAACGCAAAATGAAGGACATTTGTGGTTTTTTTCATTTTATAAAAATAAAAGTGCAGCCAAGCACAGTGGCTCATGCCTATAATCCCAGCACTTTGGGAGGACAAGGAGAGAGAATTGCCTGAGCCCATGGATTCGAGATCAACCCGGGCAACTTGGTGAGACTCTACAATAGATAAATAAATGATTAACCAGGCATGGCGGCATGTGCCTGTAGTTCCAGCTACTTTGAAGCCTGAGGCGGAAGGATCACCTGAGCCCAGCAGGTAGAGGCTTTGGTGGCCGTGAGTGTGCCACTGCACTCCAGCCTGGGTGACAGAGTGAGACTCCAACTCAAAAAAATAAATAAATAAAAGTGGCATTATGCTAGAGAATCCTTACCACCCAAGGCAGAGAGAAGTTACATATGATGCTTTCCTAATATTGATGCCAGATTGAGACTCAAGACAGGATAAAGTATACAGATTATAAACTCAATGATAACTGGTTATTTATCCCAGACAAAATTACAAAATGATAGGCACCATTAAATAAACAAAAGATGTCAGCAAGGTGGCAGAATAGGAAGTCCAAGGCTTCACTACCCCACAGAAGGTTCCACTAGCAACTATCTACACAAAAAAAAATTCTTTGTGAAAACCCCACAACTTGGGAATAAGCTGAGACTTCTGCATGGATCACCAAACCAAATAAAAACCAAAAAGGATGGTAAAAGAAACCGTCGCACTTTGACCATGTCACCCCCTTTCATTTCCCCAAGTCAGCGCAGTACCACACTGAGGGAAATCCCCAGGACTCCTGGTTTCTACAGTGGGAAAAGAGAACCAGAAGCAGACACATACCTTCCTTAGGATTCCAAGACACTTCCCAAGAAACCCACTCTAATCTCACCTTACCGAGAACACAGGATAAGACACAGCTAGATCACTTGGGGTCAGGCAGAAACAAAACAAGAAAGTCAAGCTCACAGTAATCAGCAGCAGATCTTGATGGCAGCTCTGTGTACTAGCCAGAAGTGGTAGTCAATCAGAGATATCAGTCAACAGCACAGTCCAACAAATCCAAGTTGGTCACTCTCAGAAGAGCAAGAAGTTCTACCTGGCCTGAATCTTTAAACAGTCAGCCTCCAGGGCTAGCCTCAAAACTCACCGCCCCCCTCCAAGACCCCACCCAGGGAGGGAGATGACCATCACAGAACATTTTAGAGGCTAGTTCTGCCAAACCTGGAATTTTAAACAGTGTTCAGCTCAGCCTCAAGGCCCTGTCCCAAGGGGGGAGATGCCTACCATACTGCATTTTGGCAAAGTGCAGAGGCTAGTTCCGTCATACCTGGGAGTTTAAACAGTGTTTGCTTCATCCTTGAAGTCTACCCCAAGGCCCCCACTAGGCAGGGAAGCAAACCTCAACAGTGCATTTCTAACTGAGCATGGCAGCTGGTCCCATCAATCTTGAGCAGCAGCTCCACCTAACCTCAAGGCCCAGACTATAACACTATCCAAGTGCAGATCTCAAACAGGGGTAGCACCTGGCCAGGGAATATACTCTGGGGCCCGGCCATATCAGAGATGATTGCAATGCCCAACCAGCAATTCTGCCTGATTGCAGAGCCCAGACATCAGTCTCGCCTGACAGTAATGCCCAGCTAGTAATCCCACCCAAACTCAGAGCAAAAGCAGCAGCCTAATTATC